ATTATCACACTGTAAACTGTAATTGGCATATAAAATTGAGTTATCTCCCATTATTACAATATAAACTGTAATTGATATATAAAATTTAGTTATCTCACTTTATTACAATATAAACCGTAATTGATATATAGAATAGATTTCTTTCTCTTTATTACAATTTAACCCCTAATCAATATGTTCAGTAGAGTTATCTCCCATTATAACAATATAAACTGTAATTGATATTAAATTGAGTTATCTCCTATGTTAACAATATGAACTGCAATTGATATATAAAATCGAGTTTTCTCCCATTATTACAATATATACTGTAATTGATATTAAATTGAGTTATCTCCTGTGTTAACAATATGAACTGCAATTGATATATAAAATTGAGTTTTCTCCCATTATAACAATATATACTGTAATTAATATATAGAGTTATCTCCCTTTATAACAATATGAACTGCAATCGATATATAGAGTTATCTCCTATTATTACAATATAAACTGTAATTGATATTTAAAATTGAGTTATCTCCCATTATTACAATATATACTGTAATTGATATTAAATTGAGTTATCTCCTATGTTAACAATATGAACTGCAATTGATATATAAAATTGATTTTTCTCCCATTATAACAATATATACTGTAATTGATATATAAAATTGAGTTATCTCCCATTATAACAATATGAACTGCAATTGATATATAGAGTTATCTCCCTTTATAACAATATAAACTGTAACTGATATATAAAATTGAGTTATCTCCTATGTTAACAATATGAACTGTAATTGATATATAAAATTGAGTTTTCTCCCATTATAACAATATGAACTGCAATTGATATATAGAGTTATCTCCCTTTATAACAATATAAACTGTAACTGATATATAAAATTGAGTTATCTCCTATGTTAACAATATGAACTGTAATTGATATATAAAATTGAGTTATCTCCTATGTTAACAATATGAACTGTAACTGATATATACAATTGAGTTATCTCCTATGTTAACAATATGAACTGTAATTGATATTAAATTGAGTTATCTCACATTATTACAATATAAATTGTAATGTATATATAAAATTGAATTATCTCTCATTATTACAATATAAACTATAATTGATATTAAATTGAGTTATTTACCATTATTACAATAAAAACTGTAATTGATATAAAAGTTATCTCCCATAATTACAGTATAAACTTTAATTGATATATAAAATTGAGTTATCTCCCATTATTACAATATAAACTGTAAGTGATATATAAAATTCAGTTATCTCCCATTATTACAATAAAAACTTTAATTGATACATAGAGTTATCTCCTATTATTACAATATAAACTGTAATTGATATATAGAGTTATCTCCCATTATTACAATATAAACTGTAATTGATATATAAAATTGAATTAACACCCTTTATTACAACATAAACAGTAATTGATATATAGAGTTATCTCCCATTATAACAATATAAACTTTAATTGATATATAGAGTTATCTCCCATTATAATAATATAAACTGTAAGTGATATATAAAATTGAGTTACCTCCCATTATTACAATATAAACTGTAATTGATTACAATAGGAACAACTAATAAAAATTTGAGGTAGACATTTTAAAATACAAAGACAAAGACATGCAAATACACATTTAGAAAATGATCTGATAGTTGAGATTATACTAGTATTCTAACGAAAGATATTTCTGAACATAACACGAAATCAATTTTTTTTAGTTATAAATAAATAGTGTTAGTGAACAGCAAATGGTTCTAGGAATAGGTTATAAAAAATATCGTTTAGTGTTTGAAAGTTTAAATTTTAAAGTTTGCCTACTCTTTCCTCTGTCAAATCTACCAGTGTGCCAGTTGATATTATTTTAGTCTCGATCTGCGAGTAATCGGTGAGTAATCGGTGACTTACCACTTTGTAATTATGTGAGTAATCACTTATCGGCGAGTAAGCGGTGAGTAGCCACTTTGTAAACGTTTAGTAATCACTTTTTTTAATTGGTGATTGATCACCATTTTTATCAGTGAGTAAACACTTTTTTATATCGGTAAATAATCGGTGAGTATTCGGTAACTTACCACTTTCTAAATGGTGAGTAATCACTTTGTAATTGGTGAGTAATCCCTTATCGGTTAGGGTAATCGGTGTGTAACCACTTTGTAAACTTTGATTAATACCCTTTTTTATTTGGTGAGTAATCGCTTTTTGTACCTGTGAATAATCGTTGAGTAATCATTTTGTAGTTAGTGAGTAATCACTTTGCAATTAGTGAGTAATAATTTTTTTGTGGTGAGTAATTCTTTTTTATCGATAAATAAGTTGTGGTTAAACGGTGAGTAATTACTTTCTAATTGGTGAGTAACCACTGTGTAAGTTTTCTATGGTGAGTAATTACTTTCTATTTTAGTAAGCGGTGAGGAA